CCGCCGGCCTCGCCACCACTTGGGCCATGGGTGGGGACCCCCACGGTACCGGCGAGCTGCCCGCCGCCCCCCGGCCCCGCGGGGCTGAGCACTTCTTACTGGCCTGATCCGGCGGGCTGGGGTGAGCCACAGTTCAGCATTTGATCTGACGGCCCCAGGGGGCTGGCGCATCGTTTTTATATGAGTACAAAGAGTCGTCTCTTAATGAAAGTCCCATTCCAGCTCCCCTTCTTCCCCACCCCGCCGGAGCAGGCAGCCAAACCTCTGCTGTCCCATTGGGGATGTCAGGAGCCCACGGTCCCCAACGAGGGCGAGCTTGGAACCCAGCATGGAGGCTTGAATCCCCATGTGGTCATCATGGGACAGGGTTGCTGATGGCTTTCCATATAGGCCTCAGTTTCCCCATCGATGGGTGACCTGTGTCAGCCCAGCCACAGCCCCACGATGCTTCCCCAGATGCCCCATCCCTTTGCAGAGTCACCCGTGCATCATGCAGCAAAGGGAAATCGAGCTGTGGGGGAGCAAAGGGAGATGGATGCTCCCCAGCAGCAGTGTGGGCTTGCCTCAGTTTCCCTGCTGGAGGTCACCTTTCCAGGCTGTGCCTCTTGGTTGAGCTGTTTAACCCTTTAAACCTCCAGCCAAAGCATAAAGGCTCCTTTTCCAGGCTGTGCGAGAGGGCACGTCCTCCCCAAACCCAGCTGGGGTTTGGTGGGCAGGAGATGCTGGCAGCTTGGGAGCCTGACCTGGGGCAGGGGGACCCTGGCAGGACCTCGAGCTTCAAACAAGGGGCTCGGAGGGGGGTTGCACTGGGGGCAGGATGGCAAGCGAAGTCCTGCAGCCTGGTGTCCTGAAGACAGTGCCCCAGCTGCGCGAGAGCGAAAAGGAAACCTGGAACATAGTTAAACACTGAGATTCAGCTTGTGATTTTCGAGCCCCTGGGGCTTGGCCAGACTATAAAGGTCTGGGTTTGGAAGCTGCAGCACAGCCGGTGCTCCCCAGCGAGTGGGGCTGCTGGCAGCGCGGGCTGCCCGGGTGCTGCTCTCCAGGGGACGTGGCCTCGTAGTCCTCTGGCATCCCAAAACACTGGGGGATGCTGAGTCCAGCCCTGGGGTCCTGTGGGAATCCACAGCCAGTAAAATCATGTTATCGAGCAGGACGAGTTCTGAGCCCACGGGAGCAGTGCTGGAGGCGAAGGGGGGCTGTGTGGGGCTGTGTTTGGGGCATGCTAAATTCGGGTGCCCATGGCCACGCGGTCTCCGTGCCACGGGACAGGCGGCACGGGTGGGTGGGAGGCCATCAGCGCGGCGTGCCTGCCCTCTGCCTGCTGCAGCTCCGGCGTTGCCTGCAGTGGAGCTGGAGCATTGCCCACCCCGGCACGGGGCACGGGGCATGGCGCTGGCAGGCTGCGCAGCTGCACGAGCCGTGCCACGGAGGGCACTCCAGGCGAAATGTGTGGGGAAAGTACAGGAGTTTCTGTAGCTGGCGGCACGCCGGGGAGTGCAGCATCGTGCTCAAACTTTGCCTCTACAGCCCGTAGAGCCAGGCACCTCGCTCCAGCTGTGCTGGTGAGGAGGAGCCGCCTCTGACATGGGCCTAGCCGAGACTTGCCCTCCCGCGCTGGCATCGGCATGGCTGGCGATGCCACCTGCATCCCTTTCTCGCACACCCGTGTCCACCTGTGGCTCTGTTCCCCCGGGGCCAGTGCCTGGGTAGGGAGAGGCAAGCATGGGAGCCTGGCCAGCAGCCAAGGGGCTTTATCACTGGCAAGGTCACTCGGCTCGTCTCCCACGGGGTAAAGCAGCGAGCCCCCCCCCGGAAAGGGGGAGGCACACTGAGAACGCTGGCTGGGCTCCCTGCTGTGCCCACGGGGCTCCAGGAGCTGCAGCTGCACTGGGCATCGGTCACACCGCGATGCCAGGGCTGTGCCGGGTCAGCGCCAGACCCAAAGAGCAGGTGCTGAGCAGCACAGCATCTCTGCCACCTCCCATCAGGGACACCGCCATCACCCCCAAGGATGTCCCCAAGGGCTTCGGGGTGTGGAGTGGCATGTGTCAGCATCATCCTCCAGCCAGCCCCACAGTTGGGGATCTCTGACTGGCTGGGCAGGGCAAGGTATCCCCTGGGTGCTGGCACGCTGGCACGCAGGTGCCACCCATACCTTTTGTCCTGGCCTCCATGCATACCTCTCCCTGTCCCCTTGTCACCCAGGCTCAGCGCTGAGCCGGCACTGCCCTGTGGCCCAGGTCCGTCCCTGGGAGTAGGTCTGGCCATGCCCCATCCCCACCCTGGTCCCCCCCCCAGGCTCGGATGCTGGTTTTGCTCTGCTCGCTGTCCCTCCTGCAGGGCAGTGGGGAGCCCCCTGGTCATGGACCCCAACAGCATCTGCCGCAAGACGAAGCGGCTGGCGGGGGAGGAGGCGGAATTGTGCCAGCTGGAGCCAGAGATCGTGCAGGAGGTGGCCAAGGGCACCAAGCTGGGCGTCCGGGAGTGCCAGTACCAATTCCGCTTCCGCCGCTGGAACTGCACCAGCCACAGCAAGTACTTCGGCAAGATCCTGCAGCAGGGTAAGGCCAGCACTTCCTCAGCCTCCCGTCTCCCGAAAAGCCTCCAGCTTTTTTGCCCAGTCATGTGCCTCCCCGGGACTCCTGGAGCAGAGTCTGGGCGTGCAAACCTCTGTGTGTGTGTGTGTGTTTTTGCGTGCACGTGCACGTGCGTGTGTGTGTGTGTGTGTGTGTGTGGGTGTGGGGGGGTGCCGTGCACGTACGTGTGTGTGTGTGTGTGTGTGTGTGTAGGGGGTTGCTCAGTGCTCCCTGGTGCAGTCATGCTGAGGTTTTACTGCCGGGACATGTCTTCCCGTGTTGTAATGAAGCAATTACCAATGCTCCCAGACAGCGCAGGGCTTCACAAAGCCCAAGAATGCACCCTCGTCTGGCAGTGATTTACTGCTCCCCCAGGACCCCGGGGTGTGCTGGGGAAAGGGGCCCAGGTGGGAGGCAGCGCGCAGCTACTGGGAGCTGCCCCTCGCCCCATGGGTGCCCTGCAGATCCCTCCTCCTTGTCCTTGCAGGGAGCAGAGGAGAGGAGCGCTTGCCCCCCATCCCTGTGTCCCTGGGTGGGCACCCTGATGTCAGTGGCAGGGAGGGATGCGCAGGTTCCAGCCAGGTGGATACAGTGGTCCAAGCCCAGCCCAGCTGCATCAAAGCCAGAGCAGGGGCAGAGCGAGGGGGCAGCCGTGAGTCTGTAAGGGATGGTAAAGCCCTGCTGCACTCCCCAGGGAGAGAGGCTGGGGGGTGGATAGGGAAGGGGGGGATGCTCGAAGCCCTTCAGGCTGGTAGGGCCACTTAGTGCATGGTGAGTTTAGTCCTGCCCCTGTTCCCACGTTGGTCCCTGTGCCGGGGCAAATGAAGCTGCTGGAGCAAGCCCTGGTCTCCTCGGCCATCACATCTCCTGCTGGTGCATCCGCCGGGCCAAGGCAGAGCGGGTATGCCCTTGGGCCTTGAAGGGGGGTCAGGGTGGCCTCCCTGGGGACACTGGCAAGGGCAGAGCACCCTGGGCATCCGGCAGCTGCAGGTACCATTGTGGGGCAGAGCTGGGGTCCCGAGGGAGACACTGGCCTGTGGAGGGGGCGCAGGCTCATTTAAGAAGCTGATTTGCAAGTGTGGGTTCCCCCCAGCACAGGGAGGTGTATTCAGTCGAGGGGCAGAGAGCCAGGGCACACGGGGGACACTCCTGCCTCTGGAGTCACCTATTTTCACACCGACCTGGCAGCGAAGGAGGTAGGATCTGTGCCAGGCAGGGCTCCAGGCTGGAAGTGGAGTGGTGCCAGGATGCCAGGGCCAGACCAGGTGGTGAGTGGGTGATGCTGGCGGATGAGCTTTCGGGTACTCGGGGGCAGCTTGGGTTAGAGGAGAAGCAGGCGCATCAGGCATGGGGATGCTGAAGGAGTCACCACACTCTGTTTGGCACAGCCTCGCTGCTGGGACAGTGGAGTTGAGCAATGTCCTGGGGACAGTGGTGACTTTGGGAGCCCCTGGCACTCTGAGGACATGGGACATCCCAGCTAGAGGCATGGAGGTCCCCAGGGCTGCATCGTGGGTGTCAGAAGCAGAGAGCTTGCCCTGCACTGAGAGGTGCCAGCAGGCACCAGCCTCCCTGTAAGTCTGCAGGGACTGTGTAAACCACTCCAGCATTTTGGGGGTTCCCGGCTGCCATTGGATGGGCACCTCCCATCCGACAGCCTCTTCTTTCCAAGGATGCTGCAGCAGGCTCCGGTTCCCGGCCGTGGCCTCCCTGGCGCAGTTGCAGCCGTCCCCCCTTCCCTCCCTGCCGCCTGTGCCAGGCGCGGCGTGCCAGGGCAGGCTGGCTTGGGGGCAGCCACGTGTCTGGAGGAGCTGTCAGAGGAGCGGCATCCCCCCCGGGGCCAAGGCTGGCAGGGTGGCACGGGGACCTCTGCCAGCTGCGGGCTGCCCGCCGAGGGGCCTGGCAGCCCCAGGCGAGAGCAGG